GGCCAGAAAGTAAAAACAAGATAAAACACAGAGAACTGAGAACCATGAATCAAGGTTCTGGAGGAAGGGTCAAATAATAAATCTTAGGATGGATGGAATAATTCCACCAAAGCTCACTTTACCTGTTACTTGGGGATATTTTTAAATAGGCTTTTCACATATTAAGTAATTCTTGCCCTCATCTAGCATCTGCATAGTATTATTAGGAACCAGAGTCTCAAGAGTATGCATTGGGTGGGCTTGAGGTGACATCTACGTACTTATGTATATATACCCGCTACCATCAGAAATGAAGGATTAGAGTACTGCAAATGCAGCTAAGGAGTGAAGCCCTTGCCAAGCATGCAAAAACAACTGGGTTCAATCTCCAAACCACAAAAACATTAAAAAAAAAAAAAAAAAAAAAAAAACCCACAACAAAGCAAAAACAAAAACCAACTAAGGGTAAGTACTGTTCCATACTATAAGAAGATATTCAATTGTCTATCTAGATGGGACCAGGAGAAAAATGAGTAGAACAGCCAAACCAGATCATGCATTTATATAATCTGTTTGCTATCCAAAAGGAGAGAAAGCTGAAAAGAAAAGTTAGGAGCCAAATTTAAATGGGGTTGATAACAGTGGCAAAGATGCCAGAGGAAAAGCAGAACTCAAATCTGTAGTAAAGTCAAATTGTAGACTAAAAAGGAAATAAAGTGTCACACTGAGAAACAGGAGGAATAGGGCCCCAGGAGCTAAGATAAAAATTTACTGAGCAATTTATTGCTGTATTAATTGACTGTCACTGGCCTAGCAGCAAATCAGCAACAGGGGTTCTGTAAAGGCATACTGTGGGTTCTGACAGCAGCTTATATCATAGCGAACCTCCTTCAAACCTGTTAAGTGCTACAGTACCTAGGCAAGGTCCTAAATCTCATGAGGTTTTCATTCACATGTAAATTTCGCACAAACCAAATTTTACTTTACTACATCCAGTTTATCCACACCATACAGCTTAATCAGGTAATCAAAAAAGGCTCAAAGTTCTTCCAGCAAAGGCTTAAATAATTTCCAACAAGGGTACTCAGGGACATACAGAAAATGTACTCAAAGCAAAAGACTTTTTTTTAACTTCTTGTATAAAAAAAATGGACCTCACTTCATTGATTTACATAGGAATATATATTTAACCCCCTATCAAAGTCAGACATTGGATATACAAAAATGAAGAAGATAGGATCTGGGCCTCAAGGGACTTACAGCATGTGTGGGGTGGAGACTGGCATGTAAATTAGTAAGGTTAATAAAATGTTACAGGTTCTATAACAAAAGTATGTCGATGGTAAAATAGGGAAATAAAAAGCAAGAGAGTGATCAATTCTACAGGGGTAGGGGGATCATAAATTCTTTAGAGAAAAGGTGACCCTTTAAAAAGTAGATGCATCAAATGAGGATATTAATATCTATTACATAAAATAAAATTATACACATGTACTTTTTTCTTCATTAAAAAAGAGTGACATCACTGTAGGGATGGGTAGTCTATATATAAATTTGAACAACTTCTGTGTTTCACTAGCCTCTTTGACAACTGAACTGTAACCAGTTATCATGCTAGCAATCAATAGCAACTGGCTCAGTTCATGAGGTAAACTAAGATGAAAGTGTTTTTTTTTTTTTTTTTTACTCATTTTAAGTGACTATCCTTTCTATGATTTGGGTACATGTATATCTGTTTGAATATTATTGCTCATTGATTTTGGTAGTTATCTGTTATCCTTAGAGGTTATTCTTCCTGGACTTTCACAGCCAACTATATTTAAATAATTTCCAGGGCAATTATTTTGAACATAATTACTTGATAGCTTATGAACTGAAAAAGCAGAGCAGTAATATTAGAAACAAAGTTTCAGCTACTGGCACCCAGTTACGTTTGGTTGTTATTTTCAGATGTTAACAACACAAAGGTATATGGACCACACATTGGTCTCTTCAGCCACTCACTTAGGTAGAGAGCAAAACTTTGGAAAGTACAATCTAACAAAAATCCACTTACAAATGAATTCAGTTCTGGTCACTGGTCTCTTTGATCAACTAATGCTAAATATTAATCTTTATATGGGGAGTTACTTATGACCTCATACCTGATTATCTCAATTTAGAAACACAAAGCACCCAGTCTATTACAAAGTTAACCTGTGAAGGAGGACTCTTCTTTTTGGAGAAATGTTTTTATTATACATTCTCCACAGTAATATTTACATACTCCCCATAGTCTCAGAAATTCCTGAGTGTCTTTGGTGGATAACTACTCTAAGATATCATCTCACTCCAGTAAGAATGGCAGCTGTTATGAAGACAAACAACAATAAGTGTTGGTGAGGATGTGGGGAAAAAGGTACACTCATACATTGCTAGTGGGACTGCAAATTGGTGCAGCCAATATGGAAAACAGTATGGAGATTCCTTGGAAATCTGGGAATGGAACCATCATTTGACCCAGATAGCCCTCTCTTTGGTCTATACCCAAAAGACTTAAAAACAGCATACTACAGGGACACAGCCACATCAATGTGGCTACAATTCACACAATTCAGCACAATTCACAATAGCTAAACTGTGGAGCCAATCCAGATGCCCTTCAGTGGATGAATGGATAAAAAAATGTGGCATATATACACAATGGAATTTTACTCAGCAATAAAAGAGAATAAAATCATGGCATTTGCAGGTAAATGGATGGATAACTTCAATTCTACATAATCCTCAAATATCCTCTCTCCTCGCTTGAACCCCCATTATATTCCCACCCTAACGCTTCTTTCCTGAAATATCATGTTGGGAAAAAAATCCAGATTTAGTAAGTAAGCAGAGGCTTTAAATGAAAGGATTATTGCAAGAAGAAGAGGAAAGGAGTGCCTACAATACTCAGAGGTAGACCAGTGCAACAAGGAGAACACTGGCCATAAGATTTCTAAGCATGTCAAGAGGTAGGCAACAAAAGTTTTTCTTTTATAGGAAGGTGTAAACAAACCTAGAAAACATTTGATGTGCATAAAAAGAATGACATGAGTGGATGGTATAATAGAGAATGTTTTATCCTGAAGCAGTTTATTCTCAAGAGGTAATATTAAGAAGATATTGTATGTTGGCTAAAGTGCAGGGACATATGGAAAGAAGAGAAACTAAATCACAATTTAGTTAAAAAACATTGTTCCAATTGATCAGTGCATCAAGAAGAATAAGCTTATTATTTGTTAGGTAAAGAATGGGAATCTGAAGTGATGAGTCTGGCTTTGTCATCAGTAAACAAGTTGGACATCTATGTGTCTTGTCCATCTTATCTAAGTCATAGGGAGAAACGTGGTTTTGTTTTGTTTCTTTTTTCTTTTTCTTTTATAGCAGTTCTTAAAACACAAAGACCTGTTTTTTTGTTTGTTTGTTTGTTTTAATGTTTGCTGTTTTCCAGGATCACAGGACTCAGATAAAGTTCTACATTGTCCAATGATGTTAATCAAAGACAAAGTGATATCAAACTGACATTGAATGGAGCTACCAGGAAATAACAGCTTTTAGTATAATGCTGGAATAAATAAAAAGCTCTGCCTTCCAAGTGGCTCATGTAGATGTGAGTTTCTTATATATGCCTAAGATTGGTTAAAGGAATCTTAATTATTCAAGTCACATCAGAATTCAATATGAATAATATACATAAGTGTACATTTTTTGAACCTTGTTTTCTGTACTTCTCTCCAGCAGTAGAGAGGAACAGGAAGATCTTCTGTGATATTCTCTGGTGACCTCCTTGCAGGGATATCTCAGGCTTTGGTCATTAACTGCTTTAAGTTCTCAGTATTGATTACTTTTTACTGAAGAGACATATCTGACATGAAGTAAGCAGAGAAGAAAGAATCTAATGGTTTTGAAGACTCAAAGGGTAAGTCTATGGCAGAGCTATACAGAGAATCTTAAACCTCTAAATTTTAAAACTAAAACATTCCCATTTAAAAAGAAAATCAAATTGTTTCCCTGTGTGAATATTACTGAAAAAGGCAAATAGCACTCTGCAGCTACAGAAGAAGCAGGAAAAAAATCTCTTTCTTGTGAATTCATCATTTCACAAACTCCAGGAGAGCAGAGAAGTGGACAGTGTACTGGAGAATGTTCCTGGGCTAGGTTCCCTACACATTTAAACCTGTAGAGAAAAGCAATATACAATATACAAAATAGTTAATTTTGCCACTGTCGTACAACCCAGGCCTTTTGAGGCCTTTTGGAAAGTATTTACAACCTTACCTCACCCAAATAAAATCTATTTCAGAAGTAAGAACTAAAAGTTTAATAAAGAAATACAATGTAGGTCTTAAGAATATTAAGGAAATTTAATTAAGACATTTCTCTGTTTATAATAGTTTGGCAATTAAGCTGTTACCATATTGTCTGAGACAAAATAATAATAATAAGAAGAAGAAGAAGAAGAAGTAGCAATTCCCCAAATCTGTGTAGCAACTAAGTTCAAGCCCTAGAGTTGCTGAAGTTAGCTTTGTATTAGAAAAAATAGCAAGTAAAAATCAACACAGAAATGACACAGATAAAACTTCTAAGCTGAAAACTGATTTTATTACTGTTAAATCACATGAATAATTTCTAATTGATTTCTATTGGGCAGGAATGTTATATTCCAGAACCATGTTCATCTATTTATCACAATATTCTATATGACATATGGAAACTAATACATTGCTTCATTAATATTTACAGTCTTTCTCTAGTTATGGCCCAGAGTTATTTAACATTCTAAAACACAGCATTTATAATTACATATTTTACATTTTACTCTAATTTTAATACTCTAATTTTTATATTGTTAGCATAACTAACTTTTTAACTATGTACTCTTTTCTCCCTTTACCATTAGCATATCAATCAAATTTGCATTATTCTGCTTTGCTCATTTTATTAAAAGCGAATTCAGGGCACAATTGACTTTTCATTTGTTTAACAAGTGAAGAAATATTTACCTTGACAGCCATTGCATTGTAGAGATTCATCTTCATAGTATAATGCGCTAGCTGTGAATCAAAAAGAAAAAAGATGGCATACATTTCAGTTGCACAAAGACAGTGCAGCCTATTTTTATATATAAAAGATAAGAATCTTTATACATAATACATAATACGAGTTCTAGGCTTAGAAAAATGAAATCAAACTTTGTATTGAAGAGATAGGCTTCCTAATACATAATGCAAGCTTAACCAGAAAAATCTATGGTAGTCAAACTAGGAGCTAATGGAGATATATGATCATAAAATGCTCTCCGCTGAGTTTGATAATCAATGGTGCTCTACTGAGAATAGAATAACAAAGCAGAAATATTCACAAGTGCTGGTGACACGTAGTATTGTATGATTTATTCACTGGGGTTCTTTTAGCCAAAACTCACAGAAACATAAAAGGAATTCATATTTCAAGACGTCTGGTTTAATGAAAAATTCAAAGAAATGCTGTCTTCAGTCAAAATCGTTCAAGGATATGGATGCAGTGATGGAGCAAAATTGTGCCTTCAAACCATCTATGCAAAATGTTATGTACTTACCTGCCTCCTGAGTAATCCTTGGGAATTTTGTTTCATTTAATATTCATTCTAACACTATAAAATCATAAATACAATGATATCATGTTATAACAAATCCCTTGATAAAGTTAAGACTTCCTGAAGTCTTGGTTTCTGTCTAGTAAAGACACATCTATTAATATACAAATCTCCGTTATAGTAAATAATCATTCAGTAATGTAGCTTAATTCAATGAAAATATTGCTTTAAATAAAGCTTCTACATCTTCTCTATCATTTAATGAAAATGAAATGGTAACATAACTCATGACGGTACAATAAACAGTAAGACCAATGAAATACACATTTTTCAACATGATATACAACTTGATCCATTTTTATTCAATCAAAATTCATTCAACTAACATAACTTCCTCTTGGTAATGAGTGCTTTGTTTAGGACAAAAATAAGAAAAAAAAATCTTCACCCTTTATCAAGGAGTTTTCTTCTCCATGACAAACAAGAATTCATATAAAAAGGTTTCCCTGTAATTAGTGTCATTTGAATTGCCTGGTCTGATCCAAAGCAAATTGTCTGTGGAGAGCAGCCGGGCTGGATTATTTATCAACAGTCTGAGCAATTAAGAAACAGTTGGTTGCAATATGTTATTTACAAATGAACACAATGTTACTTCATTTTAAATTCTCTTTCTTCCTTTATAGCAAGCAAGGCATGATTTTGGCATTTGAGGTGATTTAAAATATTTACTTTACAACTGTTATTTCTTCAAGTCATATTGAAGCAGACATTTCTATTAAATATTTTATAAGGAAGAAGTATTATTGGAAATTACGTATTCCAAAAAGTTTTGCCTCACAGAAAAGATGCTTCTTATCTTTATCATAACATTATTTCACTAAAAGTAGACGATAAAAGTAGTAGTGTATGATTTTTTGAATAAGAGACTCAATCCCTGAATTCAATCCCTTAGTTTGCTTTATGTTATTTTATTTTAGTTTATTTTTAATTTTTTGATGGATCTTTCTATATTGCACAGGTTGGTTTTGAACTCATGGACTCAAGTGATCCTCCCTACTTAGTCTCCCTATTCAGGCTCCTGAGTAACTAGCATTTGCCACCATGCCCAGCTGACTTTGCAAAAGTTACTTTACGTTTCTCAGTCTTGATTTTTATCCTTAGAAAATAAAGCATTACATGTTTCATTGAGTTGTTATAAAGATTAAAATGAGATAAAATAATGGATATGGCTGATTGTCATGAAAAACATTATTATTTTGTGTCTAAAAGTATATGATTTAGCTACAAGTAAACTTCAAAAAATTTTAAAAGGCTAAATTTTATTTTCAACTAATGGGAAATAAAGATATAGCTTTTGAACTTAAGAATTCTGAATTCTCTATTTAAGAGGTGGAAAAGCACTTTAATTCCAGCATTTCAGTCTCAAGTGAACTGCTAATTGGTACTACATTTATTTTCAATTCTCTGGCCCAGATGCTTTTTAAAGACATTCCTGCCAAATGTGACACAAATATTATGTGATCTCATTTATATGACATACATAGAGTAGTCAAATTCAGAGAGATAGAAAGTAGAAGAGTGGTTCCCAGGGGTTAGGGGGAAGTCATATTGTTTAATGAGTATGTTTCAGTTGGGGATGATGAAAAATTTTTGGAAATAAATAGTAGTGATGATTGAATTAACAATGTGAATGTAATTAATGCCTGAATAATACAGTTAAAATGATTTAAATGGTAAATTTTATTTTGTATATATTTTATTATGATTTCTTTTAAGAAACACAAAAATTATATGTGAATAGGAACTGTGCATTTCCACAAGCTATTTGGGAGAAATACTTAGTGTTATATAAAATTTTATCTCTGTGTTTATTCACCTTGAGCAATGATAATTATTTGTTACATTAATGTTTATACTTTGGTTACATTAGTTAAATATAAAAACCTTTGTTCTTAAAATTATTTTCTGTCCTAATTTTTTTTTTGGCCATGATATGCAGTTGGACAAGAAAAGCATATGGTAAATAAAATATCCAAGAATGACAAGTTTTTGTAATTTCTCAATGGACAAAGTTTTTAATTTTCCTTAGTATTTATTAATCTTCTTTTATGATTAAGACACCACATATATTTTAAATGGGAAGACTATAGATCTAAGGTGAAAATTAAACATAAAATGAGTATATACTGTTTCATCGTAATGGAAATGTGGTGCTCAATTTTAGATGTTCAACATATGCTTGCTGAATAAATAAGAGAAGGGAAAGAGAGAGGGATGCTGGAAACAAGGAAAGATGGATAAAGAGAACTGATGTCTTGTGTTTAAAACAGAGTATAAAGAATTCCTGGGATGATGGTATTTGAACACTATCAATCATTTATTAGCTGTATGGCCTTTGTCATATTATCTAGCTTTATTTTTAGAAGGCTTCTGAAAATTTTTTAGAAGAAAATACTTCTTTTGAACACTCAAATATTTGGCGGGGTGGCTAATAACACAAGGACTTTTGGACAGAGCTACTATTCAGCAAAATTAGACTAGAGTGTTCACAGATGTTATTTATAACAGGTGTCCTTTCTGATTTGTTAGTCACCAATTCTGACAAGTGAATGAACTTCCTGTATAGACTGCCAAGTATTTTGAATAATATTCTGTGTCTAAGATAAACTTCTGACTACTTCACTTCACAATGGCTCTTTGCTTTGTATTTTACACTGAGGAATTGAGCCCCTTATTCTCACCCAGCACTTTGATTTCCCTGAGCTTTGTCAAGTCTTCTTATCCCATGACTGAAAGTCCTCATACCTGCATAATCTTATTTTTAATTCATCTTGAATACTTTCTCTAGATTAATTTAGTCAAGTATTGTTTTTTTTTAATCAACTTATTTAAAATTTTTTTTTTTTTTGGTGGTTTCCAGTTGCTTAAGGTAAGGAAGGCATCTTAATTAGGCTGACTGAAGTAATTAACATTCTTGAATTTTTCAGATCTCCAGGAGGGAGAGAGATGAAATTACAAACTAAGGTACATAACACTTAATCTTCTTATTTCCCTAGTAGGGAAATACTAATAAGAATATGTCCCATATTTGAGTCTGTCTCTTCCTGCCTGTCTTTCTCTCCCTCCCTTCTATCAGGTGATTTACAAAAGGGGGTGGATAAACATTGGGGCAGCCCCAAAATGGCGATGGTTAGGCTCCCTTGCCGAGGCTTCTGGTGGGCTGCTATGTTTTATGTTTTTAGTATGCAGCCAAGGCCATGAATTGGTTGTGTATGGTTAGTGTGTAGTCATGATCAGAAACACACTGATTCACTATATTTACTTGAGATAATAAATTTGCTTGTGTGCATGAGTTCACTGAAGGAACCTTTTGGCAGTGTGCCTTCTTTGTTTAGACTGTATATAAAAAGAGGCTAAATGGAACTGAGGAGGCAAAATGGAATTGGCTGGGGGCTAAAGCCAAAGTTAGAGGCTAGAAGCTGTTGCCACCTCTGAATAATGTCTACTATCCTAAGTGTGCTTTGCAGTCTGCATCTTCTTCTACCTACTGAGATCCTGAATCGGTTTCCTGGGTCTGAGCTCCTGCACAACAGTAAGTTAGAATCACTACCTTACAGGTCAAAGTAATATTCAAAGTTCAACATCAAGTTCCAATATTTTTTTCCAATTACCTCTCACAACTCATTTCATTTAAACCTCAATCTGATAAATTAGTGCATATTTTTCTTCTCTATTTCCATGTTTATATTACTCACTTTGTCTTAACATTCATTCCTTTCCATTCACCCCAAATCTATCTCCTGTTCTTATTTACAAACATTTTAGAAGAAACTATCTTTTCTCCCTTACTCTAAGTACAAACAATTAGAATAAATAGTATTCTCCTAGATCCACTGGGTATTTTCAAAACTTTTCAAATCAGTAAGACATATATCTTTTAAAAAATAATAACAAAAGAAACAATGATGACAAACTTTGAATCTCAATCTTTCCAATTTTATTATATTGCCAATTTTGGTGTTGTCAACCTTCATTTAGCCTCCAGACCATTTGATCCTTTCTCTCCTCATTGTCATTCCCCAAATATTCCAATCATATGGGATGAAGATTCTGACACCTAGCTAAAGGTCTTACTCTTTATCTTTTTTAATACAACTCCCGTGTTATCTCAAAGGTTTTCATATTCAGGTGCACAGCACATTCAATTATCTACTGTCATTCCATACAAACTGCGCTTTAATTTAGCCTCATATTCCCACAGTATGCTCCAGATCTTGTCAACTATAAATGTTCTACCTCTTGTCTTAAACCCTGACTGCAAATTCCTCTGTTTAAGATCCTGATGGCTAAACTTCTATTCAAAAGCTCTAGACAGATCTCTCCTTTCCTTGATTTTAGGTTCCTTCCATATGCTTTCATAGGTAATATACAATGGCTACTTGTTTTTGTTTTTTACTTGCACAGGAGCCCAGGCCCAGG